ACCCTGCAACCTTCAACCATCCGAGGTGTACGCTTGAAACTTGTGTCAATCTGATCTGCTGCGCCATCTTTGCAGTGATGGGGAGGCCTAGGTTGTTGCCCTGCCCAGCGACGCTGCCCAGAGGACGGTGTGGCCATTGAATCACAAGGGTTTCGGGTTTAGGATGATGAGCCCGAAGAACAACGTCAACCCACACCCCTACACCCGAAGCCCACAAGCAATGAACGCCTAAACCCTAAACCCTAAGCCCTAAATCCCCAAATCCCGGAAACCGTTGATCATTGAACCCTCGACAGCACACCCTAAAAGCCCCCCACCCCAAGGCTAGCAGCAAAACGGCCCACATACCGCCCCCCATCTATTCCCAAGGGTTTCTTATTCATCTAAGTATAACGAAACATACCCTAGTTCCCTAAACCCCAAATCCTAAACCCTAAACCCGAAACTGCCGGCTACTTGGCCTGGTAGCTGCACGCCGTAGTCGACTTGGAAGCCTGTGGAATCCGCGCGGTCCTGATCCGCTGGCTTTCCCCTGAAACCTAAAAGCCTCCTTTTGAGATCTCAACGTAATATAGGGTTTAGGGTTTAATAATTGCTTTGGGGAATATTCAAGTATACCTGTAAAGTATACTGTACCTAATAAGGAAATCTAAAGAATTATCTTGGGCATCATCCAGGCTTCTAATATATCAGTGTTGATACGGCTCTCAAAGTACTCTCCCTCCATGGCCGGAGTTTCAGACCAGGAGCTCTGCATTTGCATGCAACCCCTACTTGCCCAAACCCTAAATCCTAAACCCAAATTAAAGGAAACTACAGGTGGGGAGTTTAGGGCATATAAGGCTTCTAGAAGGCTTCTATAAGGTCTATAACCCCAATCACTAAACAACCCCTAATCGCCTAAGGCCTATTAGGGAGTCCGTCGTCTCGGCAAGCTCCCGTGCATGAACCTAACTTGCTCCATGACTATATGGAAGTCTCGTTAAATTAGGGGATCGGTAGCGTTTATATGGATCCTACGATTTAGGGTCTGTACTGGGTCTCTCATTTTCGGAGACTCCCCCCATGTGGCATAGGCTTTGGTCTTCGTTCCTCATGCAGGACACGAAAGTCTCTCGGCATGTAGGGTTTACCCAATATAAAACGTAAAACCTAAGCCCTACGAGGTCTTAAGCGCAAGCAGTCATACTAGGTTTATGGTCTAGGGAGTCAAGCGCCTCAGGTTTTCGAATTTCGTTACTAGAAATATCTTCGGACACCCGAAGGCAAATCAATTTGCCCAGAGAGCCCAATCAAGGAATAGACCGTAAATCTAACCTCAGAGGTCGTGGAAACCTGAAGGTTTCCACTTTGGGGTTTAGGGTTAGGATTTTGGGTTTAGGGTTAGGATTCTGGGTTTGGGGTTAGGATTCTGCGTTTGGGGTTAGGATTCTGGGTTTAGGGTTAGGATTTTGGTTTTAGGGTTAGGATTTTGAGTTTAGGGCTTTGGGGCCGGGCCCTAAACATCAAGGAGGTTTCCTTCATCTTCTTGCGGAACTCCGCCAGCTGCGCGTCCACCGCCGAGCGCGCAAAGTGCGTGACGCTGACGGTATCGCCAGCGATGCCTTGAAACACTCAGCTCCCGGGGTTCTTTTTAGGGTTCAGGGTTCAGGGTTTAGGATTTAGGTTTAGGGACTAGGGTTGGTGGACTTGTAAGGAAATCATGATCAGGAACTCTACAAAGGTAGATAAAATAAATATATATATATATGTATATATATATATAGATATAGATATACACATATACATGGGACTAAGGTAGGGTTTAAGTCTGGCGATAATCTCCCCGGCCCCAGCTCGGAGTAGGGAGTTGGGGGGATGGGTCATAGGGACGACAAACAGGGACTATCATAAGGGTTTAGGGTTTTAGGGTTCAAGGCTCACGGTTTAGGGCTCAGGGTTTAGGGTTTTGGGTTTTGGGCAATTTGGGACCGCGGCTCTGAGTCTTGAGATCCTATAACTCCTCGACCCCGGTCCTAAGCTTCGCAAAAACACTAGACCTGAATAGGATTAGGGTTTAGGGTTTAGGGTTTAAGGTTTAGGGTTTAGGGCTTAGGATTTAGGGTGTAGGGTTCATAGCCTTAAATACTAGAGCTAACTCTACCCATCCATCTGGGCCGCCTTTTCATGGCCAGCGGATTCTTTCCGCGGGCCAACCCTAACCGCCCTAACCCTAAACCCTAAACGGATCGAGGGGTGTCGAAGACGGCATCTACTTGGAGCCACTTGGAGGATCATGGGACATAGTAAGTTAAAAGCTTCCTTAAAGGGATTTCGAAGGATTCCACAATGTGCCGGGTATGGGACTTCATAAGTATAGCTATAGGTACTTCAATCAGGGGAATCAGTCGCTATATAAGTCTTAAATAGAGTATAGTTACCCTAAGACTATACGTAGCTTCCAAGTTTCATACGGAGAAGGGTTAGGGTTTACCTGGACCCTAAAGAACCCACCCTTTTAAAGCACCTGTATAAGGAAATCATAACAACGGACCGCTAAACAGGTAGGTTATATAGGATTAAGGTGGGGTTTAGGCCTGGGTCTTGCGTTAATTTCCCTAGCCCTTAGTAGGGAATTGGGGACATCGGTTTTGGGAATTACTCTAAGGCACTGGCATAGAGATGCATGGCCCCATTCTCGAGTAAGAACCAAGGACTACTTGGGAGTGTTCCAGAAGTCGCCGCGCAAGTGCTTCAGCCAAGGTGCTCTAAGCACGAAAGCCCCACCTAAACTCTAAACCCAAAGCCCTAAGCCCTAAACCCTAAACCCTAAACCCCCTAAACCCTAAACCTGAAGTCCCAAAGCTCTAATTCCTAAAACCCAAAGGCCCTACTGTAAGCCCTAAACCCTAAACCTGACCCAGGATCATGTCCGCAATCTCCAACCTGACCGCAAAGCTTTAAGCTGCCCTGAAGAGCGAAACGCGACACTCCTCACTTCAACCGTAACCCTTACAGGATTTAGAGTTTGGGGTTTAGGGTTTAACCCTAAGAGACCAAGATCAGGCTTTCGGCTTTTGATTGTAGTTTGGGGTTAGGGCTTAAGATTTCGGCCCCTAACACTTCAACCGTAAACCCTACACTCTAAAACCAGGATTAGGCTTTCGTTTCAAGTTGAGGGTTTAGGGTCTAGGGTTTGGGGCTTGTGGTTTAGGGTTTGACGCGGCGGGATTCGGAATAAACTCCCTTGAAGCGCTGTCCGGCTGATGCCCCATAGATCTCCCCTAAACCCTAAACCCTGAACCCTAAACCCTAAACCCTAAGCCCTGAACCCTAAACCCTGAACCAAAAAACCCTAAACCCTGAACCCAAACCCTGAACCCAAAACCTAGATTCTTAGAATGTACTGATGCCAAGGATCTCACTTTGGCCAAGTTGTTGGAGGTCTCCACCAACCCGGGCACCTCTTCTGAGAACCTGACGACTCCTTAATACAGGACTAGGGCTTTAGGGTTTAGCGTTTAGGGTTTAGGGTTTGAGGGTTTGAGGGTCTAGGGTTTAAGGTTTAGGGTTTAGGGTTTAGGTTTTAGGCTTTAGGCTTTAGGGTTTCGGGTTCAGGCTTTAGGCTTTAGGGTTTAGGGTTTAGGGTTTAGGGTTAGGGGCCCGAACAAGTAGAATAAGGTTACTTCAAGGTTTCCTTTTAAAGATGCGGATAGGGGCTTCGGGCTTCTGGCTTAGATGGGCTCGGGGCTTCCTTCGCTTTTAGCGGCCGTGTGCTGAGGGGCTTTTTGAAGGTTGCAGGAAGGATCTAGGTTCTTGGGCGTTGGGGGTGGTCATGCAATTCAAGGATTCCGGTTTAAACCCTAAACCCTAAACCCTAAACTCTAAACCCTAAACCCTAAATCCTAAACCCTAAACCATAAACCCGAATAAACCTTAAACTAGGGTTTAGGGGATCTACAGCAAACCCGCGCAAAAGCTGTGCCGGTGATGAGTCTCAGAGTTGAGGGGAGTTGCTGAAGGCCTGCCGTAACTCCTGGCCCTACTTAAGTCATATCAAAAGGTGGAATGAAGGTAGGTCCCTTGTATAAGAACTTCTATTTGGGAATATCCCACGTGCCTTCATCCCACCTTTTGAGGCCTCCGAATACACCCTGGGTAGAATAGTATCCTGAACCATCGTAAACCCTGGGCGCTTTGCCCCAAATCCCCCTGAAACCTGACCTCTAAACCTGAATCCAAACTAATCGCAAACCCGCCGGCGTTTAGGGTTTAGGGTGTAGACGAAACTTAACCCTCCCTAAACCCTAAACCCTCAACCCTAAACCATAAACCCTCAACCCTAAACCCTAAACCCTCAACCCTAAACCTGAATCCAAACTAAAAAACGGAGCCCTCGCCCGGCCTTAGCGGGCCGTGCGGGATCTCTGCCAGAAGCTGCAGCAGCGAGCTCCGCGTCGCCTGGCAGATACTGCAGGGGCCTTAATAATCAGAGTTAGGGTTTAGGGTTTAGGGTTTAGGGTTTAGGGTTTAGGGTTTAGGGGTTTAGGGTTTAGGGGTTTAGGGTTTAGGGGTTTAGGGGTTTTGGGTTTAGGGGCCTTAATAATTTGCAACAGGTTTTTCTGATCAGCGATGATCTTCCTTGTACATGCAACACCTGTGTTCGACATGGCTCAAGCAAGGGGCCCCTTGTTCTACCGTGGCTTAGACTGCTGCCATGGTTACGGACGAGCAGTGAGCTCGCTGGCAAAAAGACAGAGCGTTGTGCTCTTCGTGCGAGTGACTGAGCCCAAGTACCCTTTTAACCTCCCACTGCCGATAACTTCCGTTGCATTGGCAGCGGAGCAGTTCGATCCGGTGACCGACCCTTTCTGCACCACTGGTTCTGTTCTGCTCCGGGAGCAGGCTGCAATCCCTTCTGTACAAGACTTCTACGAGCCTGGATTGCAGTTGCCCGTTCAGGTGCTGAACGGTTTTCTCCAGAGTTTTCAGTAGTTTCAGCTCCAGTTTTCCTTCAGACGATGAGTGGTGCAAAGGACAGATCTTTTGTCCCCAGCTGGGACGGCTCTGCCAGAACATGGCGGCGCTACACGAGGGAAGTTGCTTGGTTCGTCCAAGGGACGGCCGTTCATAAACGGCGTTACTGCGCATCACAACTGTTGGGCAGATTGACAGGCCCAGCCCGGCTGCTTGCGATGAGTTGGTCGAAGATGTTCGTTGACAACAAGTCTGGGACACGTCTTCTTCTACAGAAGCTAGCAGCCAGCCCACTTGTGAGACGCAACTTACCTAACGCAGCGGCTACCTGCTCTCAGTACTTCGCCTTCAAGAGGAACCACAATGAGACCATCGGCAACTTCCTCGTCCGCGAGACCCTGGTGCATGAAGAGTTCGTGGAGGCGATACTCAGGCTATGGGAAGATCGCCAAGGGCTGTCGCAGGAGCAGCGCGACTTCGGGCTGCCAGAGGACGAGGAGGAGTGGACCGATGACGACTGGCGAAGCTGGAATTGGTGGTCCTGGGAGGATGAAGAGCGTATTGAGGCAGGCGATCCTGATCTTCTATCCTCACCTGATGGTGCCGCTGAAGGAGTCGATGGAGAGGCGCCGCCACCTGGGACTCCTGGTCCTAATGGAGAGCCTACCAGAGGGGCGACAGGTTCGTCACCTAGCCATCGACCTGATGGTCCAGATCCTTTAACCCCTTCGCCCGAGACTCCTAAGGACAAGGCGGAGGCCCAGACCCTGGACGAGCTCACGCTGGCCGACAGTTTCATCATGAATGTGCTCAGAGGCTGGCGCCTCCTTCAGGCGGCTGGATTGTCACCAGATGAGATGCGGGACATCCTGTCCACGACAAAGAACAGTTTGGATTTTGAGATGATTTCTGGCGCATTGCAGAATCTGTGGGACGACCAGCTGCTCAGTAGCCGCAACCGTGCTAAGCCAGGCTACGCGGCCTACACCGTGAACTACGTCAACGAGGCGAACGAGGCCGACCTCTACTACAAGGATGCCTGGGAAGGTGACGGTGATTCATGGTGGGATGAACAGGCCTACTTTGTGGATCACGACTACTATGCGGACCACGACTACTATGCCAACCACGCCGGCTACGACGACTCTTGGTGGCATGACGACTGGCCATCTGAGGACCCAGGAACAGCTCAAGTGGCTGCCGCCACGGAGGTCGATGATGAGAAGGTTCGCGAAGCACAACAAGCGGAGCGCATGGCGGAGTCTCTGGCACTGGAGGCCCAGCGAACTTGGTCCGAAGCGCAACGGGCCACACAACAGCTGCGCAAGGACCGAGGCTTTGGAGCGGCGACGATTGGAGCACCGACTAAGTGCTTTGGTTGCGGAGGCCCTCACCTCCTCCGTGATTGCCCTCGCCGTGGAATGTCTGGGTTTGGCAAAGGCCCGGGGAAATCCAAGGGCAAGTTTGGCTATGCCGCCGACTACGAGAGCTACTACATGAAGGGCAAGAGCAAAGGCAAGGGCAAGCCAAAAGGGAAGAAAGGCATGTACATGGATGCCGATGCCCTCTGGAAGGGCAAAGGCAAGGGTCCTGGAAAAGGGCCTGATTGGTCACAGCGATCCGTGAATGCCTACAACGCAGATCTCTTTGGCATGGAGCTTTCCTCGGTGATGGATCTGGCCACGACGACTACGGAACCCTCAAAGCCTGAGCGTGGCATGGTAGACTGCGGCGCAACAGCCTCGGCGGCGCCGGAAGCCGTTGTGAAGGGGCTGATAGCCTCGATTCTCGAGAAGGACAGTGGAGCCCGAGTGGACATCGATTCGAGCGCTCGGCCATACTTTCGCTTTGGTGATGGTCGCTGGGGCAGGGCTTTGTACAGGGTTCGCATCTCTAGCAGTGTGTCCGGCAAGCTTAGATCCTTCTCCCTCTACGCATTGCCCAACCCCAAGGAGTTCTACCAGGTTGGTTTTGACAAGGCCACTTTAGTGCCCATTCTCGTTGGCATGGACTTTCTGGGAAAGGATGGTTGTGGCATGTTGATAGACTTTACCACGGGGTTGGCAATGAGCTCACAAGAAGAACCACCGGAAGCTGTTCAACTTACCCAGAATCGCAAGGGCCACTTCCTGTTGGATGTTTGTGAGTACCTTACACGAGGCCATGTCAGTCACGAGGGTCATGCTCATGTGGTTGTCTCTTCTGCTGATGGGGTATATGCGAGCCCGGATTTTCACGTCCTTGAGTTCCATGTTGTGCACTTTGACCTAGCTCAGAGTGATGCCGCATATGATCAAGCTGTGCTGCAACAGTCACGAGAGCGGCTGTGGCATTTGTACCAGTTGTCCAGACAACATCGTGGACTACCTGCTGCAGCCAATTCTTGCTCAATGCTCGCGACGACTCAGTCGCTTGAGACCCCCTCAACTTCTTCCTCTCGGACTTCGGAACATGGCGTCTTCGGCGCCCACGATCGACAAGGAGACGGAGGCCATCCTGGTGGCGTCCGCCAAGGCGAAGACGGTCAAGAAGCGAGCCAACTCGCTGGACCCGTCTCGTCGCATGAAGGCCGGTCCACGCGATCCCCGGTCATTCGCGAAGAGCTGGCCGTGCTACGGACAACATCTGCCCGGAGCACCAGGTTCCAACATGCACGGGGAGTGGATCCACTGCCAGACTTGCGACCTGAGGTTGTTGTACACCCCAAGGAAGGGATCACCCTCGAACACCACGGCAGTTCACAACCCCCAGATGGTGAAGCGCATGCTCACCGAACTCGAGGCGCTCCTGGGCAATACCAAGCCGACGGCCAAGGTGTGCCACCACATGTTTGCCAAGATCACGGCCGAGGAGGTGCTGAACAAGTCGATTCGCGACCTACTGGCGATGCCGAGTGGGAGTACCTCAATGAGTACCAGGAGGACAATGACACGGCAGGGCTACGTGCCGAATGTGGCGGCCAACGACGAGGAGGAGCTGGTCATCGACTACGAGATTCCGGTCACTGGGGACCAGTGAATGTGGCAGCCAAGGACTACAAGACGAAACCACTTGGCCAACATGTGGCCAAGAAGGTGATGCTCATGGCATCCCTGATGTCCTCGGCGGTGACTACCACGTTGCTTGGATTGAAGCTCGATGGACGTGATGGACTGTGGGAAATTTCCGGAGCCCCGCACAGCTGGCTTTCTGAAGCCTCTGTACAGCAGGGCATCCCCGCGAAGCCCATCAACTACCAGACTGGATACGACCTCTACAAGGAGGAGACCTGGCATCGACTACGTGATCTACAACGAGTTCATCAGCCTCGGAAGCTTTGGTTCTCACTACCGTGCTCGGCTTGGAGCGCTTGGACTAAGGTTTCTCGTAGGCATGATGCCCCGACAGAGAATGATGCCACTACGAAACGCCGACAACGACGGTTGCTCCTCTATGCCGTCGACTTCATCAAGTATGTGCTTGAACGAGACTCGGATGTGGACATCTACTGGGAGTGGCCAACGGACAATCATGGATGGGAGCAGCCTGGTCTTCTTCAACTACAGCAATGGCTACATGATGGTTGTTTTGATTGGCTTGGATGTCGCATTGATGCGTGCAACTATGGACTACGACACCCTGAGGACCACGACTTCATCTACAAGCGCTGGAGTGTCTACACTACTGACGGCCAATATCACAAACAGTTCCGAGCCAAGGTGTGTCCCGGCAATCATCGACATTGTCTACGTGCTGATGTGGACTTCTCCAAGGAGTCCTACTACCCTTGGAAAATGGTGGAAGCAATGGCTCGACACTGGAAGGAAAGCATGACACCCTCGCGACATCGCCAACTTCTTTCTCTTCGCGAAGACCTTCCTGCTTTACAGCAAGATGAAGATTCTCCTCACGAACTTCAAGCTCTCTTGGACGAGCCCGACGATGATCAGCCTCTTCTTCCCGATGATGGTCTTGATGACTCATTGTCTGCTAATCTCTTGACTGAGGCAGAACGACTACAACATGAACATCAAGCCCGAGAAGCTCGTCTACGACAACAGTTCGACTTTGCCACCGGTGAGCGACTTCTCCATCAACTACACCGAATGGCGCGCAGGACTGGTCCACAGCATCAGCGCGGCAACCTCAGCGGCGTCAATAGCTTTCTCCTGGGCGCCTACTCCCACGGTGCCTTTTGTGGTGTTTCCAAACTTTCACAACGACTTCGAGAACTTGTGAAGTACCTCAATGGGATGTTCAAGCACCATCTACCTGGACAAACCTGGTCCAGCTTCATGGTTACCTTCAACAACAAGTGCCTACCACATCGAGATTATCACAATCTCAAGAACACCAAAAACATCCTGCTGTGTCTCGGCAACTTTCAACAAGGAGGACTATGGCTACAAGGTCAACCACCTGATGGACTACCAGCAGTGAAACGAAGATGCTCTCCCCATCACTTTGAGACTGGTTATGTGAAGGACACCAGATATCAGTTTGTGATCTTCGACCCCATGACTCAGCACGCAACCCAGTCTTGGACGGGATTTCGAATTGGAATCAGTGCCTATACCACTCGGCTGGCACCTCATCTTGCTGCGAGCGACAAGAAGCTAATGAGTGAACTGGGATTCCCTCCGTGCTCGTCACGTCCTTCACAACCAGCCACAGAACAGCTGAATCAATCAGAATTCCATCCATCTGCAGGTCCTTCAGAACGAGCCACAGAATTTCTGAATCAGTCAGAATTTCATCCATCTGCAGGTCCCTTGACTTTAGCTACTACGACCACGCCAGATGAGCAGGCATTGCCGGAGGGCGTCACCAAGATCGAGTACGAAGCGTGGGAGGCCAAGATAGCCAAGTACCACCGGGCAGCGGGTCACCCTACCAATCGCAATCTGGCCAAGATTGTCTCAGATGGTGGTCATCCAAGCTGGAAAGTGCAGGTTGCTCTACGTCACAAATGCCCAGCTTGTGAGTCCTTACGTTCTGGTAGCACGAGCGCAGGCACAATCCCACCAGCCTCTACGACACCCTTGTGTAAGGCATGGCAGACAGTGGTGGTGGATGTGGCAGAATGGACTATACCAGCATCCCGCAAGAAGGTGAAGTTCGTTCTTCTCATGGACTATGCCACCAAACTACGTGTCGTAGCTCCTCTCAAGACCTATGACATCATGTCTATGGACGCTGAATCAGCTGAGAGTGTGATTCAGGTCCTTGCGGAGCGTTGGTTGAGTGTGTTTCCCAGACCAGAAGTGGTGATCATGGATGCTGCGAAAACTTTCACATCGGCCAAGATGCATGAGTTCCTGTCCTCCCTGAACATCCTGCCGCACTTCATTGCTGAGAAGGAGCACTGGAGTCATGGCACAGCCGAGGCAGCTGTGCAGGATGTCAAGACAACGTCTACAGCGATACAACTTGAGGCTCGCGATCAAGACCCTTTTGTGACGCTTCACTTGGCGGCAGCGGCGCTCAACGCCACTGAGTACACGGCTGGGTACTCTGCCTTCCAATGGGCCTACGGTCGCAACTACAACATCTCGGACGAGGATCAGCGCACCTTCGCCTCTCTTCCAGATGGACCACAGCGAGACTTCGCAGATCTGGTGGCTTCTCGACAAAAGGCGGAGGACATTGCTCGGAAGACTCGTTCCCAACGAGTCTTGTCCAAGCTGGCAAACACCACGGTCCGACAACCTCTACGACAATTCCACCCCATGGACCTGGTCAAGGTGTGGCGCAAGCAATGGCCCAAGGAGGTTCATTCCGGACCTCGTGGTGGATTGAAGGTCTCAGGACGTCCCCACTGGATTGGGCCTGGAAGAGTTGTTTTTCATGAAATCCTGCCGCACCAGTCAGCCGAGGACCATCGACGACATATCCTCTGGGTGATTATTGGTGCCAGACTCTACCGCTGCTCCGCACACTCTGTGCGAATGGTCACTGAAGCGGAACGCTTCGTCTATGAGGCGTCTGGTGACGAGAAGGTGGATCAATGGAAGAGTCTCACCGACATTCTTCCTCGACGAGAGTACCACGACATTGTGGATGAAGAACCAGATGAGCGAGATGTTGAACTACCTGACCTACCACCACAGCCGGATGATACCACGGTTCAGGTCCCCACTCGACGAGTTCGTCAGAAGACAACGTTTCAGCCTGACGAATACCAAAACAACCCTGTGCGCGAACGTCTTCACACAGAGTCGGTCAATGACTATGGAGAAGGTGTTGATGCCCCGCATGGCGAGTCCTCGACTTCCTCTACTACAAGACCAATCTCTTCTGCTGAAGACCCGGCTCCGAAGAGAGCCAAACAGGATCGATCCCAAGATGATGATGTACCTCTTCAGGCGAAGACCTCTTGGGTGGAAGAGCTCTACATGGGAGCTGCAATGGAAGCGGAAGAGATCGACATCAACACGGCCATCCAGGAGACCAATGAGTTCCTCAAGGTGGTGTTTGATTTGGGACCATTAACCTCCAATCGTCAGCGGAAGATGTTCGAGAACAACCCTCAGGCGTTCCTTGTGAAGAAGATGCGTGACTCCGAGGTGGTCATCTCAAAACTACCGGGAACCGAACGAGAACTATTTCAACGCGCCAAGGCGAAGGAGGTGAGCTCCTTCGTATCCAATGAAGCTGTTCGGAAGTGTTTGGACTCGGCAGAGATCAAAGAAGCCATGGATTCTCAAAGGATCATCCGAGCACGCTGGGTGCTCACATGGAAGCTGATTCCCCCTGAGGAGCAAGAGGAGGCGCGCAAGGACGCCTCAGAGAACCCGAACACTACGTGTGTGCCGTCCGGCACACGCAAAGCAAAGGCGCGCATAGTCCTTCTTGGATTTCAGCACCCTGGGCTTCTTGACCGACAGTACAAAACCTCTGCACTGGTACAGTCGACAGCAGGCCGAAATCTACTTTACCTGATGTCTTCCTTTCATCAATGGGAGATTGAAGGACTTGACCTGGCTACTGCGTTCCTTCAAACGCAGCCGACCGAGGCGGATGCGCGGCTGTGGACTACAGGAGTAGAAGAGCTTCGAGAAGCTCTTGGCATTGGTTCTGAAGGTATCATGCGGATTCTTCGGAACATCTACGGTTCTACGACGGCACCGAGAGGACTTTGGCTGGACTTGCACAAGACGCTCACAGCACTGGGTGCTACACCGGTGCTGGCGGAGAGGTGCATGTGGATCTGGAAGTCCAAGGAAGTTCAAGATGGCAACCACCCCAAGGTGATTGGTGTCATGGGTGGTCACGTTGATGATTTTCATCGACTTGGAGACGGCAGCCCAGAGTGGATTGAGATCAAGTCCAAGGTAGACTCTGCCTACAAGTGGGGGATGATCAAAAAGCGGAACTACAGACATGCTGGAACGGATGTTTCAACCGTAACAGATGGACCCCAGTTCCACGTCGAGATCGATCAGACCTACTACGTGGAGACGGTGCCGGACATTGACATTGAACCAAGCCGACTTCGGGACAATGGAGCCTTGACACCTCGAGAAGTTGGTGCATGCCGCACCACACTTGGCAGTTTACAATGGTTGGCTGTCTCTACACAGCCACAGATTTGTGCTAGGTGCAACATTCTCCTCACCGAGGTTGTCACTAATGGGCAACTTTCACATGCGCGGGAGATACAGGAGATGCTTGGCGAGGTCAGACGAAACACGTATCGTCTAAAGTTCTTTCCTTTTCCTACAGCACGGCATTGGAAGGAATTGGTCTTCATCACCATGGGCGACCAGGCGCATACGAACAGGCCCAAGGGCGATTCGACAGGCGGTATGATTTCGATGGTGGCAGGACCAGATTGCTTACAAGGCAAGGTCTGCCGGATGTCTATACTTGCCTGGAAAACCTGGAAGCTACAACGTAAGGCGATATCCTCTAACGACGCAGAGGTGCAAGCCGTGCTCGAGTCCGAGGACCAGAACTTCAGACTGAGACTCCTGTGGACGGAGATGCATGGCGCAGGCAATCGGGAGAATCCACGAGAGCCGCTTGTGAAGGCGGCT